GGGAGCCATCAAGAGAGAGCAATGACGAATGAACTGAGGAAAATCCCGGGATAATAATTACAGGATCATGGAGGCGTCTGCCGGTGGATTCGTTATTATCGAGGGGTGATAAAACTTATGGAGATATTTATATATCAGGCAATAAAAATATTTATTCTTATATATTTTGCTTCATATTTTCCATATCCTGCTTAGTTTGAATTTCAAAATAAATTAAATGTTTATACATATATATATATATATATATATATATATATATATATATATATATATATATATATATATATAGAATCTCCCGTCGTATTCGACGTATGAGGGTCAAGCAGATCACTGACCTAAAAAACTGACAGCCACACAACAGCACATGATTTTTGATTATAGTGGTGAAGGTTTATGCAGGACCATATGTATATATAATTTATATGAAAATATATAGAAAATAGGAAAGGACTCGTTAAAAAATAATAATTCTAACGAGAACTCTTTCTGTAGCGTGTTGAATTATATATTTTAAATAAATAATTATATATATATATATATATATATATATATGTGTGTCTGTGTATCTATATATATATGCGTGAATATATATATAGTTATTTCATTTTTTATAATCATTTTTATAAATTAATAATTTTATATTTTGTTATTTGATTTAAGAAATATACACACGAGATCAATCTGAAAAGTAACTGGACCAGTGTCACAAAACAATTTATTTAAATTCAAAACAACAAACATGGTTTACCCTTCATAGTAATCCCCCTATAGTCTATATATATTGTTCAATCCTTCTGCAACGCTTCTATGCACTGCTGGAAGGATTCTTCTTGATGCCCTTCAGCTCTGGCGTTACGGTCCTCCTGATGGCCTCCTTTACTTCAAAACTGCCCCCCTTGATGATTCCCTTTGAGATTAGGGAAAGGAGAAAAGTCACATGCCAAATCAGGTGAAAAAAGAGGTTGTTCTAGTGCAATGTTGTTCTCCTTGGCCAGATGCTCAAAATGTTGTGAGCAGGTGCATTGCTGCGGTGAAGCAGCCACAATTTGTCCTGTCACAACTCTCATCACTTCTCATGCACTGAGTGAAACAAACATTGCAGGATCTCTTTGTAGACTTGCTGATTGATTGTTGACACTGTGACAAGTACTCACTGTGGATCGTTACTTTTCAGACAGGCCCGTTACATTTCAGACAGACCCGTTTCTTTTCAGACAGACCCCGTAAATTTTTCCACAGTCCTTTTACATTTCAGACAGAATATAATTTTCAGACAGACTCGTTACATTTCAACAGACCCGTTACATTTCAGACAGAAAACTGTTTCTTTTCAGACAGACTTTCTTGAACGGTTACATTTCAGACAGACCCATTACATTTCAGACAGACCCATTACAATTGTTTCTTTTCAGACAGACTCGTTACATTTCAGACAGACCCGTTACATTTCAGACAGACCCGTTACATTTCAGACAGACCCGTTACATTTCAGACAGACCCCTTTTTTTTCAGACAGACTCGTTACATTTTAGACAGACCCGTTACATTTCTGACAGACCCGTTTCTTTTCAGACAGACTCGTTACATTTAAGACAGACTTGTTACATTTGTTGAATTTCTTGTTTAAAAGGTTTCTTTTCAGACAGACCCGTTACATTTCAGACAGACCCGTTTCTTTTCAGACAGACTAGTTACATTTCAGACAGACTCGTTACATTTCAGACAGACCCGTTACATTTCAGATAGACCCGTTACATTTCAGACAGACCCGTTACATTTCAGACAGACCTCAAATATATATATTTTCCTACAGAAAAGAAGAAAATTGTAAGAACGCATGACAAATTTGACTGTAGTACCTTGTCAGTCATTTTCAATGAAACTTGTATATATATATATATATATATATATATATATATATATATATATATATATATATATATATATATATATCATCTATCTCTCTCTCTTTCTCTCTATCTATCTATCTATAGCCGTTGTTACAGCCCTCCGCCTTCATATCGGGTTTTTTATGATCCCCACGATCATAAAGAAAAGAAAAAAGTCACAAGCAGTAAGATCAGAAGAATAGCGAGGTCGTTCCATATGGCGATGTTTTTAACGGCCAGGAACAGCCGGATGCTCAGGGCGTTGTGTGCAGGTACATTGTTGTAGTGAAGCAGCCACGATTTCGCCTGTCACAATTCTCGCAGTCGAAAGCAGAAAGCTAAGATTACAGTTATATTCTTCCAAGATGGTAACGCAATCCTCTTTCCCCCCATGGATCACACAGCACGGCCAGTTCCGGTATTTTTTCAGACAGACATCGTATATATGATGTGTCCCAAAGAAAAAAGGGTTACATTTATATTGTCGACCAGAAATTTCAAAAGACACAAAGATGACCTCAAAAGATCCAGTACAAGATTGCGTTCAAGACGGAAGCTAAATCAATAAAGAGGTTTAATTCTTCACATATATATATATATATATATATATATATATATATATATATATATATATATATTATTAAGAATTGGACAAAGTTCTCACAATTTATTAAAGACATTTTTATGTTTAACATTCTATGAAAATTTCTCAGATATTCAGGCCCGGTAAATGCTATTTAATACTGTTTATTATAAACAGAGTATTTACTTAAATACTTGTATATAAAAAGAATGTTAATATATATATATATATATATATATATATATATTATATATATAGGTTTTTAAAAAAAAAAAAATATATTTTAAAATTTAATAAAAAGAAATACAAAGAGTCAGAAAAAAACATCACTGGATAGGCGTTCATATAATTTTAAAACATATATAAAACGATTAAGGTAAATAGAAAATTATTATATATATATATATATATATATATATATATATATATATATATATATATATATTGTGTGTGTGTGTGTGTGTTTTGTGTCTGTGTGTGTGTGTTCGTGTGTGGGTATGTATATACATATTCTATACATACATATATATACATATAAATATAGACGAAGAAACTGAATAAAAGACATCTTTCGAAATGACACATATATATATGCATATATGTTTGCATGTATATATATATATATATGTGACAGAATTTAAAATAAACAGTTAATATGTGTATGTATTTTTTGAATGATATAGTTTATATTTATATACTTTTGGTATCTATGTGTATAAAAAGTGTTTTTTAAATAAATATATATATACATACATATATAGATATATGTGTGTGTGTGTATGTATATATATATATGTGTGTCTGTGTACGCGTGTATGTGTGTGTGTATGTATATATATATATATATATATATATATATATATATATGTGTGTGTGTGTGTGTACGTTTGTGTACGTGTGTGTGTGTAAAATACAATTTGTCACTATGTCTTTGGTCGGCGCATTCGTATAATGGCCTCCTATTTTTTTCAGTGATAAAAGCCACCATTTCCTCTGGATGAAGAAACCATATTTAACGTTGAAGCTTTTATCTATATTTAGTATATTAGAAAATTATCCAATCGAATAAAAAACTATCGTAATTTAACTCTTCATCAATTCTCTTTCTGAATACTTTCTGGTGAACGACATCTTCCAACAGATCGACATTCATATCCCAAGTCTCGCGATATTTGTTTACGGCTTCTGTTTCTTTCATTTTTTTTCTTCCTTATTTTTGCTTTTTTCCCCCTCTTCGTCTCTCCTTTTTCTCGGAATAGTTTCGCGTATTAAATTACAGCCAGGCATATTTTTAAAATATATAAATTAGATGGAAGCCAAAAATATTTCTCCTCCTCCGCATAATTCTGAGCCCATAACTTCTTCATGGTTATTGATCGCTAGGTATGTTGGATATTTTTTTAAACAATACTTCACGACAAACCAGTCAACTTAGAGGTTTTGAATCGACTCTCTAGACAGATCTTAGGACTTGGGTCACATCGGAGACTTTTCAGTGCCTACTTGTACAATGATATATATTGACGATAAATGAAAATAAATATTTTCATGTCTGGGACAAACACATATCATCGATTTTCAGAACGTTCTCTCTTTGTTGTCGGAATATACCAAAAATAAACCAGAGGGAATCATCATCTATATGGCAATAAGTGCTGGACAATCTCCTCACAGATGAAGAAGTGACGTTAATCAGAAGAAATGTGGCTCTACAGAAGGACTCTGAGAATAATATGGACGGGGCATGAAAGCAAAGAGGAAGTCTTAGAATCAGTATCCTTGCGGCAAATTTGAATATGCCAGAAGGAATCATCATCTATGTGTCAAATGGATGAAGATGAGACTTTAGGCAGCAGAAACTAGTGGTTCTACAGAAGGATGCTGAGAATACCATGAACATTTGTAAGAGCGAAAAGTCTTAGAATCAAATTGTTGCAAATTTTGAATATACCAGAAGGAATCCCCCAAAATTTATCAAATGGATGAAGATGAGACTTTAGGCAGCAAAAATGTGGTTCTACAGAAGGATGCTGAGAATACCATGAACGGTGCATGTAAGCAACGAGGAAGTCTTAGAATCAGTATTGTTGCGGCAAATTTGAATATACCAGAAGGAATCATCATCTATGTGTCAAATGGATGAAGATGAGACTTTAGGCAGCAAAAATGTGGTTCTACAGAAGGATGCTGAGAAACTTTGGAACGGTGCATGTAATTTAAAACGAAATTCTTTTAAAATCAGTATTGTTGCGGCAAATTTGAATATACCAGAAGGAATCATTATCTATGTGTCAAATGGATGAAGATGAGACTTTAGGCAGCAAAAATGTGGTTCTACAGTAGGATGCTGAGAATACCATGGACGGCGAGTGTAAACAACGATGACGTTTTATTGAAAAAGGAAAATAAAGGATATTTACCATCAGGTTCAGATATTCCTAGGACACGTGATGGAGAAATAGGGTTTGGGGAATTTGACCCTCACTCCTCGGCTATACGGTTCCCTCTGACGATTTTCCGCATCTTTGTTAAAACCGGTTCCCGTACGATCACCGAAATTACGCCGAGCCTGATCAGTACCTGGATAGGTGACCTCTTGGGAATACAAGGAGCTGTAAGCTTGGATGTACTGGTAGTGTAACAAATAATGGCTCTGGATTGTTAATCGGAGAGCCGAGTTCCAAATCTCGTTGTATTCGTTTAGGAAAAGTACGGATCATGTATTCTCCCCCAGCTATGGGTTAATTAGTAAAACTTGTGTCACACGAAAACATTATTATCTCAAAAAAAATTCTTATAATCTAAATATATCGTCTGGCTTTAAATAACCTGCAAAGGGTTGATAAGCCGTAAAAAACGAATCAATGAATAATTACCTTTCAGGACGTTAGAGATCATGGATTTTTTAAGATATTTCATTCTTTGTTTCAATAAGTGAATTCTTTCTTTTGTATGTCCCATATCTTTCAGGACGTAGGCGATCATGGCTTTTCAAGAAGTCATCTAATGTTGTTAATGCAGCTTTATCAACAAGTTCCATCCTCTCTGTTATTCCCCCAGACCATGTTCTCCATCCATTTACTTAAGCCCGCCAGGTATGTTAATTTGTTTGACCCTTTTATTTCCCTAGGAGATTCGACCCGTAGTATCAGATTCTCCAATTAGTCTTTCCTCATTATGTGTCCCAGAAACTTCAGCTGCCTTTTTAATTTTTAATGATTTTAAAAAAACAACCTCTCGGTTTGGTACCACTGTATAAAATAACGTCACTAAAAAAAATTTTCATTTGTATGTTCTTTTGAATATGTTGTTTTATCTTTTTTTAACCGACAGCTTCTTTTCCCATAATAGTTCTACAAACATTTATTTATTTATGAAAAAAATTTTTTTGATTGAATATGTTTACCATGTCAACATAATCCCGAGGAAAATAACGACTAAATAAATTTCTTTCCAATTTCACATATAAATGTTACTATTTACGGTGGCGAAGAAAAAAATTTTTTTTCACAAACGAACTGATAATTTTAACAAATTCATGACGGCCGTCTTCAAGTATAGAATCCAGAGGTTGGCAGTGAATATTTCGGAGACAGTAGGAAATAGTAGTCAACCAATTAAATTCGCAGTGGATATCGTAACGAAAGAGGTAAGAATATTTCTTCCTTTAGGCATCTTCGCCTGACAAGTTGGCACTGGTCATTCCGGTAGGGTTTAAAAAATGAACTTATTTTTTATACACGACAGATAAAATGTTTTTTTTGAATTTTGGTCAACCTTCTATTGGTAGACTATAAAGGGAAAAAAGATTTTGACTAAGTCACTAGTTACATGTATAAACGCCTTTGCAAAAAACATGTAACAATAATTTAAACAAGAAACCCTTTATTCGATATATTGTTCTTATAAAATTCAATATATGTGCCACGCCTACTTCGATCATGTATCTTTTTAAACGAGGCTGATTATTTATACGGGTTTTATGCCATTTCTTTCTGCTTTATTGTCATGGGTCCTTACCTATAACTACAGAATAAACTCTCCCTAACACTATGTATACTACGCCTCTCAAGAGAGAGGGACGAATCAAGCCGAGCTTCTCGACTTGACGGTCGAACTCTCTGCCTCTGAGCAGAAAGGAACCCGGACGAGGTTCCGCCGAAGGGCAGAGTCTCGTTCGGGGAAAATGACCAACCCAATCTCGTTTATACGGGTTATACGGGCATTTTTTGGCCGAGCCTACGGGCTCGTGAAACCCACGATAAACTCGGCCTTGTGTCACATGCAACCCTCGTGGGGGGTGGCTAGATACCGAATCAAGCCAAGCTTCTCGGCTTGACGGTCGAACTCTCTGCCTTTGAGCAGAAGAACCCGGACGAGGCTCCGCCGAAGGGCAGAGTCTCGTTCGGGAGGTTGACAAACCCGATCCCGTTTATACGGGTTATACGGGCATTTTTTGGCCGAGCCTACGGGCTCGAAACCCACGTTAAACTCGGCCTTGTGCCACATGCAACCCCCTCGTGGGGGGGGGCTAGAATACCGAATCGAGTCGAGCCGATAGTAGTTCACTCCAAACCAGACTGACAGTCATACTAACACCTTCCACATCTTGTATTATTATTTCATGTAATATACCTTCGTTATTTCTACTCTTGTGTTCGTGTTGTTCTTCCTTGGTCCTAACCTGGACCATAACACTTATAAGACCTGGTCTGTTCAGCTATTTTCCCAACCAAGGGGGGGGAGAAAAGAATTCATTCATAACATAAGCATTAGCAAAAATAAAATGAATTCTATAAACTGATTCAGACTGGAATTCCAACTCGGCTCTCTGATTCCTCAAAATAGAACCAAAAACATCCATTATCCTTTTCCCCAAGTATATAGTTTTAATTTCTTCCTAAAGGTGTAAAGTTGACATTCAATGATAGAGAACCCGGCATATCATGCTATTTACCCATAGCTGGGGGGAGAAGAAAAGGATTCATACCTTTCCCAACGGTATAGCACGTAGGTGAATGTTAAGATTCGATGAAAAATTCGAACTCACTCCCCGATTCCTCAATCCGAGCCGCTATCCAATACTCCCTTTCCTGTTTTAAACTAAACATTTAATAAATCAATATTTAAGGTCACATCAAGGTGGTGTAATAGTTAGCAAAATCTCGTTAGAAATTTATTACTTCGTTCGATCCTCACTAAGGGACCCCATTTATTGCGGCCTTGTGATAATATCAAGCTGGCTTGGAAAATCATAATATTTAATTTTTTAAAGCCGGGGTTCTTAAATAGGACATTTGGAAAAAGGAGGAAATTCTGTGGGTGAGGGAGATATTTGATAGTTTTTTTACAAATTTCTCATTGGCTGTAATCTTCAGAATCAAATCGATTTAAATACGCCGACCTTTTATTGGGCGTTTTGTTTATTGAATTGCAATACACCGGCATTCTATTGAACTTTTTTGTTTATTGAAGTCTGCTTTAGTTTGTTTAATTAAGAATTAATTATAAATTAAAACAAATTACAAAATTTTGTTGTTTAAAAATCTGAAATCCATATGTTTTGTTACCTTTAAAAAAAACCATCTCTAAAATAATCAAATGGTTATATAGAAAAGCTAATTAAATCTTTTTTTAAAATCTATGTTATGGTCTTTTCTGAAAATAAAAAAAGAATCTTTTTGAAATAACGAATGCTGAAAAAAAACAGAATATATTTTTGTTTAGAAAATGAATAAATAATCAAGATACTTTTATCTATATATAATATATATATATATATATATTTTATTTTCCGGTTCCTTGTACCACGGTGATAGTCCAAGGTAGAACCAATAAAGAAGAACTCGAATACGATATGGAATAACACAGATATATTACAAACAGGAATATATACAGAGAAGTAGAAAGTGTTAGTACGAACAATCAGGTTTAGTAGTAATTGTCTGAACGCGACTCTGTTTTAACTGCCTCTGACTCGACTGACTGACTCGCTCTTTACTGACTGACAGACTCCCTGACGGACCTCATTTCAGACTTCAGACAACTCCAAACTTCAGACGGAACTCGACTTCACGGAAAGGTATTTAGTCACCCCCCCATGAGGGCATCATGTGACAAAAAATTATTTAACGTGGATCTCCGATCCCGTCGGCTCAAAAAAAAATATGCCCTTTGAATCCGTATAAACGGGGTTCAAGGTCGGTTTTCCTTTTTCGAAAGAGACTCCGCCCTCCGGCAAAGCCTTTTCGGGTTCCTCCTAAAAGCAGAGAGTTCAACCGATCAGCCGGTCGCCTGAATTTTTTTTGTCTGCTTCCTCTTGATGCGCAGTATTTATTACGTATGGAATAGTCCATTATGTTATTATGGGTAACGTCCCATAACAATATGCATATTATTTGGAAAATGTGAATTTGAGTTGGGTAAATGTTGAAAAAAGATGGGTAAAACATTCTGATATTGTCTTTATGAATTTTAAATCCCATCATTCTCAAACATTTCCGACTGTTGGACGTATGAAAGTAAGTGAATAAACGATAACCGTTTTTTTACTTTTTATGAGCCTAACATTTTGTAATTTTAGAACTTGTTATCTGGCCTAATTGTAAGGCACACAATGGAACATGTTGTGCAAACTCGTATTCTGTTTTTTGAGCCATTTAAAGATTTCTTTCCAGTTTCGCATCTGAGTAGGAGTTTCGTTTATTTTTTTTTTCATTTGCGCCTTTGATAATATTCGGGACAAGAGATTAGACGCTCTTTCTTCTCTTCTCGCATCCAAATTCTTTTAATCTGGACCAGAATTCGAACTTAGCTCACTGATTTCTCGTTCTAAGTTTTAAGTGTCCATTACACCACCTGCGCAGTAAAATAGTAGAGGTTTTTGTCTATTAAAACTTTCCCACTTTAATCCATGACAAAATAGTGGCTTGAAAATAGAAGAATGTGAGATACAGACAATCCCGACTTGACATTGGCACACAGTTTGTGGTTGAACATTTTTCTAAACTTAATAATCAACATTTCGTCCCAATGTCCACAAGTCACCAAGTGATTAAGGTGACATCTGAACAGAACAAGACTCATTAGAGAGTAAACCGTTTTTAGAAACGAGATTAAAATGTCTCCAACTTAACGTGATAAATAACAAAACAGTGCAAAAGAGAGAAAGAAGCTGATTCTATGTGAGTTTTACATTTGGCTAACAAGACGGAAAGGTTAGTACTTTTCTCTTGTAAATTGTATTTCGCCTTTCATTTTCATTCCTTTAAAAAGAATCTGTAAGTTTTGTCGCAAGAAGACGAAATTGAAAATGCGAGTTTATTTGCCGGTCATTGCTTTGGCTAAAACCCTAAAAGTAGAAAAGAACACCTAGAAAATTCAAATAAAACCCTTAACGGATTAATGTTCATCCAAAAATCTAAATAAACCATTAAATTATTAAAAAATCCAGAAAATTCAAATAAACCCTAAATTATTAAACAAAATCAAGAAAAATTCAAATAAATAAATAAAACAAAATAAATAAAATTTTATTACCCTAAAGGAAAAAAATCCACAAAAATCTAAATAAACCCTTTTATTAAATAAAAAAATAGAAAATTCAAATAAAAAAACAA